TCTCGCTTTCAAAAAAAAGGTTCTGTAGTATGAGTTCTGGAGGCGTTTTCGTCGCTGGAGCACGAGTCTCTGTCGCCAGTGCTGGAGTACGCACGCCGCCTGGGATCCCTTACACGGGGGGTCCGCACAAGGCTTTTACTGTACACGTACACACACGGACGTACACCCCCGCAAAGCTTCAAACGCGGGTACCGTATGGTAAGCAAGACTGCTGTGCTGTGACAATTGAGAGCACGAGACTGGAGAGTACCCATGCTCATTTCTGCTGGCACTCCGCAGTTCCGTAGGGCACCGGTAAGCCTGCTGACCATGGAACCTGAAGTGTCTGGGGTTGTGGGATTCTCTGGGCCTGGGACGCTGGAGGATGTGCCTCATTCCCCGTCCTTTGCAGCGGACACAAACGTTCCCAAAAGCTACACACAGAAGATAGATACACCTCCCTTACTTATTAGGTGACCGGCGCAGCAATGGAGAACTCGGACCGGACTGCATGTACTCTTATCATGTGTATGAGAGGTTTGTGTGCGTTCATTGGAAACCAGGCGATCATCTGGGGGAGCTATCGTTTTGGCTCTCTGCTCACCTTTTTTTTTTTTCCCTTAATCACACAACAATTCCATCTCATCTATAGAAACNCGTTTTGGCTCTCTGCTCACCTTTTTTTTTTTTCCCTTAATCACACAACAATTCCATCTCATCTATAGAAACAAGTCTAAGATAGATCAGCAATGAATCCATAGCGTGAGCGAAAAGCTACCTGTATGTCTACGGTTTCCCAGACAGCATACAGCGATAACTCCCCTGTGGGTAATAGACTCAACAAGGCAGTTTGGTAGCCATCTTGAGTATCTATATCTGTATGTTATGTTGGGAAGTTGTAGACGGAAGATTTGGGGGAACTTGGTTTGTCGGGTGTTCTAATATAGCACCCTTATGTGGTTGCGGAGCAAGCGCGTCTCGGGGTATAATTTCGTCAACTTATTTTTTGTGTGTGATGTGGGGGCATGTGCGGCGTGGGAGAACATACTTACCTTGTTGTGTAGACTAATCTCATGTCGTTCAATGTGACAAGGGCACGGGAGAACATTATCTCATCATTGGGGTTTCATCACTGACATGTGGGTGTGTGTTAAATGCAGTGGGTATGGTCGCCTCTCTCGCCCGTGAAGAAAAAAAGTCTCTTTTTTCTAAAGAGTCTACTCTTCTTGCGTCAGCAGCGCTCCCCACACAATACCACCTCATAGCACCGTCGCACGCACGTGCGCTCCTGGAGCAATGTCGGATGTACCCTTGGTACTGAGGGCACGTAGCATACGTACTTGTATTATAGTGAGTTTCCCCGCGGAAAGTCGAGTTTCGGTCAACTGTCACGCAAACATTCTCAACAACATACATGCGAAAACGCGATTGCACGAGACAAAACTCGCGCCGGCACCACAAGAAGGCACACGTATGCTGCATAACATATGCTACAAGGCAGGCATATGTACCACTTCTTGTCTCACATCATCATTCGCTGGGAAAATCGGAAAAATTGCCGGCGGAAAGAATTTTTGATCGATGAAGAAAACGTATTTTCGTTCTCCGCGTTGACCGCCAACACAATTTTTTTACTAATTAAATCCTGGTCTCCGTTGGAAGCGATGCGCTGCAAAGCGCGTTGTTAGTAAACTTGATCGACTTCATAAGTTGCGAGGGAAGGGATTGCTGTACCCTTCTCGCGATAAAATATCTTAGGCAGGAACCGCTACAGAAGGTATTGCTTCCTTTTTCATTTATTTGTAGGCAGCGCGGACCATTAGTAACGACACAGTGTATCATTTCATGCATCTACATCATTTTTTCTGTGTTGTTGTTGTTGTTGTTGTTGTTGTCGTCACATTAAAAACCGTTCCGGTCTCCCTCTACCCAGTACCTTCGTATGTCCGTATGTCCTTTTATTTTTTCCCCGAAAAGCCTACGAATGCGGCGGAACCCACACCAGTACCCCTTATCATTCCCTTTCCCCGGTATCTTCGCTCCGGCTGCCGGGCACACGTACAAATTCGTGTTGCTCCTCATGGGTGATTCGCGAAATGTCATTTTTCATTTGACATGATAGTTCAGGGGACGGAGCCCCCCTGCCTAGCTCGCTTTGTTACAGAAAAGCGCACATGTTTCAAGAGCCCGCAAGAAAATCAAATGTGCCTCTACAACGCGGAAATCCTTATTCGGTTTCACGGTCGAAGAGGGAACGGCACGGCTGAAGCTTCAACTTTCTCGCGAAATCAAAATCAAGGAGGGCACCGCAGAAGGAGCAGCTGACGCGAGCTATTTACGCCGCTTCACCTGTACCTATCCAATTGCGCCGCTTCACTTTCCCTTCAACTCCCTCTCACTTTCTCTCAACAAACTGCAATTCCCTCATAAGCTCATCATTCGAACCATAAACCTACACATCCTTAACTCTAGTCTCCAACTCATAAACTTTTCATGACCTTAATTGACGTTATCTCAACTAGACCTAACTCCAACCCTGCTCCCAGAGCCATCGTTTTCAAGTCCATTCCATCACGTCTCAACATATATACTGCGATTAACCTACCCCAAGTCTTCTTACCCTGACCTAACCTAGGGTTGACTTTTTGCACGACATTCCGTGAATTCTTCAGTATTTTTTCGGTCGTTAATGATTGGCCTTCAGGTTAGAACGAACGGCTTACAAAAATACATACAGCACACCATATCATAGCCACCGTATATTGGTACTTGTAGATACCAAGCTGTGTCACCCAAGTTCTGGCTGTTTTGGGTACTCTACCAGAAGGATGCAATTGGAGAAAGTGTCACGCGTTTGGTCAAGTGACCACTCCTGTATTTTGCAGATACGTTCCGAAGTATGCATTGACGTATCTGGTTCTGAAGCCTATTTGCTTCAGTTTTCTGTTGCGGAAATTGTCAGACCTAATTCGATTTTGACCCCACTCCCTGTTTTTCACTTTGTTGAAGAGTAGGCGATCTCCGGTTTCTTCTCTAAAAGCAAGGTTTTTTCATCGGGCGACGTTTTTCGACATTCCATTGACAGATTTTCGCGTGGGTTGGAAGAGGTGTCCCTCCTGGCCCCGTCCGCCCCTCCTGCAAGTTTGGTGCAACAGCTCGTCTCTGTTTTCGAGAACGCGTCCGTTGTTGTTGTTGTTGTTGTTGTTGTTGTCGTCACATTAAAAACCGTTCCGATCTCTCTCTACCCAGTACCTTCGTATGTCCGTACTGATCCAACACTCGACGCGGTCGATTACCGTGGTCGCAGGCTAACTTACCCTAATAAGGTACAAACTCAAATGAAATGGCCCCGAGGGATCCGCAAGTCAATAGAAATCAACGACGGTTATTCTGGAGTCCTCCACTCCCTCTGCGCGCTATGCGAGGTTACAGCTGAGACTAGGAGTCACCATCACGGGCCGGAGAGAATGAGGTACACCCCCTTGGTTCAATCTTGGTACTTCACAACGCAAGCAGAAACAAGGCCATCTGGCACAGAAAAAGAGTAGAAAATAAAAGGAAACAGTGAGGAAAGAGAAAATGAAATAGAAAGAGCGAGGACAAAAAGGGAACAGGCCGAAAACAAGAAATAAGAGACAGAAAAAGGCACACGGTGGAGAGACCACTAACGACAAGCAAACCCGCAAACATGGCCACCAACCAGCGATAAATTGTAATGATACGTCATCATTCTGGAGTCCTCCACTCCCTCTGCGCGCTATGCGAGGTAACAACTGAGACTAGGAGTCACCATNAGGACAAAAAGGGACCAGGCCGAAAATAACAAGAAATAAGAGACAGAAAAAGGCACACGGTGGAGAGACCACTAACGACAAGCAAACCCGCAAACATGGCCACCAACCAGCGATAAATTGTAATGATACGTCATCATTCTGGAGTCCTCCACTCCCTCTGCGCGCTATGCGAGGTAACAACTGAGACTAGGAGTCACCATCACGGGCCGGAGAGAATGAGGTACACCCTCTTGGTTCAATCTTGGTACTTCACAACGCAAGGAGAGACAAGGCCGTCTGGCACAGAAAAAGAGAAGAAAATAAAAGGAAACAATAAGGAAAGGGAAAATGAAATAAGAAGAGCGAGGACAAAAAGGGAACAGGCCGAAAATAACAAGAAATAAGAGACAGAAAAAGGCACACGATGGAGAGACCACTAACGACAAGCAAACACGCAAACATGGCCACCAACCAGCGATAAATTGTAATGATACGTCATCACTAGTGGGGGGTTGGTGCAATGGTGCGGCGTTGGGGGGGGGGGAATTGGCTAAAAGAAGTTCAATCCGGCACGTATCGCGTCACTCGGTCCGTCTCTTCTCGTTTGCTTACTTCTCTCGCCGTCTCGTCCGTCTCCTGCCCCCCTCCCGCTTCATTGGTTGGTGGCTTGTGGTTTCGTTTGAGCGCCCGTTGTCGGCTGGCCTCTTCTTCCTTCTCGTGCCAGGAGGTCATGAACCTCTCAGCTCC